GTGTGTGTGTGTGTGTGTGTGTGTGTGTGTGTGTGTGTCCCTTACTATATGCAGGGATTTTTCTAAGAGCTTGACATGACAAATTTCTTATACTCTTCAGAGTGATCCTACAAATTAGGTATCTTTATCATCTCCATTACATAAACTTGAAAAAAAAAGGGGCTTAGAGAAGTAAAGTAACTTGTCTACAGTTAAAAAATAAATAAGAGCAATTAAAGTTGGGACACAAGCTTGTTTTATTCTAGAGCTTAGGCTCTTGAATGTATCTTATGTAGCAATAAATTACATATCATGGAGGACAAACTTCTGTAGATCAATAGTCTTTAAGCTATTATCCTTGAGAAGCACCAAATGAAAGTTTTAAAAACACATTTTATATATGCTCTCACATATTTTTAAGTAGATTCCAGATTATTTTAATCATAATTGTAAATACTTTCAGAGGTTATAACTTCAGAGATATTGCAAATAGCACAAATTTAAAACTAAAAAATTAGTACCACTTTTTAAAAATACATCCATCTTATTCACTATCATCCATGTCAAAAATACCTAAACAAACTCCATTACCACCTGAAAATTTATGAGGTTTTCTTTTTTGACTTCATATCATATTTTTGTTCTACTTTCCCTTAGAAACATACTAAATGTTATATAAGTTATGCTTGATTTAAAGAAAAAACTTTTTTGCAATTAAAATAGGTATACAATTAAAATTGTCTTTAAAAATTTCATGTAAGCATTAATCTAAAATGGGTTAAGGGGCGCCTGGGTGGCTCAGTCGGTTAAGCAGCCGACTTCGGCTCAGGTCATGATCTCGCGGTCCGTGAGTTCGAGCCCCGCGTCGGGCTCTGTGCTGACAGCTCAGAGCCTGGAGCCTGTTTCAGATTCTGTGTCTCCCTCTCTCTGACCCTCCCTCGTTCATGCTCTGTCTCTCTCTGTCTCAAAAATAAATAAACATTTAAAAACAATAAAAATAAATAAAATAAAATGGGTTAATTTATCATTAAACATTTTAGCCATAGCAACCTATCAAAATCACATAAATATATTAAACTGCTTTATAAAATATTAAATATAAAAAAGTAAAATTTTAGTGAAAGTTTATTTCTTAATAATATTGGTGAAAGATCATTAATTAAAAATTAATTCAGCTATCCATGGATTAATACCCCAAAGGATAAAGCTTAGCATACATTCTATTCTAAATTTCAGAAACTAAATGTAGGTCCTGAGAAAATTTTGTTCTCAAAAATAACTACATGGAAACAAAAGAGGTTTTAGAGTAATTTCACTTAATTATTTTAACTCTATTTTAGTTATATGCCAAAAATGACACAATAATCCATCATCAAATAATCTGATCCATCAGCTGTAACTCAACCAAGAATTCTTTCATGAAAGCAATCTTATAAATTATGAATTTATTTACAAATCACTCAACTTGCAAGACATTTGCTACCTAGTCATTAAAGTCATGCCCTTTAGCAACACTGGCACCAATATTTTGAATTTTCTATCTGTTTGACACCCTGTAGGTTTTTACCCCTTCTGATAATGTGTTCTGTTGAGTATGGATTCAGGATGTGTGAGAAGAAGGTTTTTCTTGTGAAAAGTAGGAAAAAGGATTGTATATGGGGCAGAGGTAAAGGAGAACCTTCGGGAGCCTCTCCATTTAAGATTGATTTTAGAACAATGTTCTTGGGAGGAGGACCTGGAAATAAATTTGCTTAACACTCTCTGTAACATGTACCCTGTAGAAAGTCTTAGTGACCTGCAGTAGTGTGTCTATCCCGTTTGAATATACTGCTATAGAGAAAAGATTGTTAGAATTATGCAAACCCAGCTTTAAATTCTATATTTCTTACCAAAAGTATGACCTTTGTCAAGTTAAAATTTTTTTGAGACTCAGTTTCTTCATTGGTAAGAGAGGGAATAATTAATGCCTATCTGGATTCTAATGAGGAATAATTCTGTAGCAGGTGTGAAGCTTCTAGTATAGAATCTGGCACAAATGAATGCTTCCTGAGTAGTACCTGTCACTTCTATCAGTTCATTGCATTTGAACAATGGGTGGTCATCATGAGAGGACGGGCCAAGAATATGGGGGTACTCCCCCTGCAGGAAAGTCTCTTTTGCCACAACTCCCCACCATCAGGACCCATCCCAGCACCCAACACCTCTCCCCTTCCTAAACTCCTTTGCTCTACAGAAACCTGACTGCTGCTTGCCTTTATCCAACATTAGAGTGATCTTAGAAAGTAGGATTGAGCCCAGCATCCCCCTACACCGCCATCTTCCTCACAATGAATGGATAAAGAAATTGTGGTTTATATACACAGTAGAATACTACTTGGCAATAAGAAAGAATGAAATATGGCCTTTTGTAGCAACATGGATGGAACTGGAAATAGTTATGCTAAGTGAATTAAGTCATACAGAGAAAGACAGATACCATATGGTTTCACTCTTATGTGGATCCTGAGAAACTTAACAGAAGACCATGGGGGAGGGGAAGGAAAAAAAAGTTAGAGAGGGAGGGAGGCAAACCATAAGAGACTCTTAAAAACAGAATAAACTGAGGGTTGGTCGGGAATGAGAGGGAGGGAAGGGTGGGTGATGGGCATTGAGGAGGGCACCTGTTGGAAGGAGCACTGGGTGTTGTATGGAAACCAATTTGACAATAAATTTCATATTAAAAAAAAAGAAAGTAGGATTGCCATTCTAACAGTGTTCTCAGTGAGGCTTGTGTTTCTTTACTTGCTTCTTTGGCTAATTTTCCAGATACTGAATCTGGGAAAGC